TTTTGCCACCCCCTGGAAAATGCCGCCCAAGGCAAATGCCTTATTTGCCTCACGGCTAATACGTCCCTGTGCATCTCAGTTTGCTATGCATGGGGCTGCGTAGCTACAGACTGGTACGAGTGCCCATGATGATCCCTGTACACTGCCGAAAGTGCCTTTAATGGGGATGTGAGCATCAGAACTGGACCATGGAGCAATAGAAGTTTGTCTGGTCTAATAAATCATGTATTCCTAATTTCAGTCCTGACATTCATGTGGATGTTACTTTGACACATCCCACCTACTTAGAGATTGTTGCAGGCCACATACACCCTTTGATGACAATGGTATTCCCTGATAGTAGTGGCCTCTCAGCAGGATAAAAACACTGTAAAAATTGTTCAGGAAGGGTTTGATGAACTAAGCAAAGAGTTGAAGGTATTGTTTTGGCTTCCAAAATGCCCCCATCTCAATCCGATTGTGCATCTGTGGGATGTGCTGAAGCAACAGATCCAATCCATAGAGGCCCCATCTCACAACTTGCAGGGTGTAAAGGATCTGCTAATAATGTCTTGGTGCCAGTTGCAAAAGAACACATTCAGAGGTCTTGAGGAGTTCATGCTTTGATGCATTAGAGCTGTTTTTGCAGCACGTGGGGGACCTACACGATATTAGGCAGGTGGTTTTAATATTGTGGCAGACCTGTGTATACTCTTTGGCCTGTATTGCACTTGTTACCTTTAATGTTCTTGAACGTGGGTTAAACAAAAACAGGTAATCAGGTTCTGTTGGACTATAATTCATAGGACGCATGTTGTCCAATGCTGAAGCATTTGCTTTTCTTTTGATTTGATTTGGATTTGACCAATAACTATAAATTGAAGTGACGTGGAATGTATTGTGACAAAACAACCATGATTCACTGCAAGAAATGTGGGGCCATTCTAGCTGAACAATAGTTACAAAACATAGCATGGTCGCAAAGGAAAGTATCCGACAAAACTTTAAAATCTGTATTTTTTAAGAGATTCCTCTACAGCACTTTGTTTAATTTAATTAGTTTTACAGCATGACCTCTAAACCACTGAAAGATGTTCTGGGTGGAGGTTCCCCTATTTGCTTTATGGACGTATCTCCCATGTTTAAGCCTAGGTTAAGAACCACCAATGTTTGGGATGTAGTGGTACAGCTGGTGGGCTCGGGATGATATTTCCCATGTCAGTAAGATTTTTCAAATATATTTAAAATGCTTACAAGTAGTAGTTTTTTACTTCTTTAATGTACTTTGCATGAAAAAAAGAATATCCCTTCAGCACCGCCTTTTAAGGAAATGTAAATTATACTTTGGATTTATTCTATATTTATTTATAATGTTAAAATGTAGCTTTTGTAGCTGGCAATTTAATTTTTATTTTTTTATTTTTTTGCAGCTTTCATTTTATGATGTTTAGCTATTATTTACTGTTTAGTGTTGTTACTTTTTCCCATAAAGAGAATACTGTCAAAAAGTAAAAATGTTTATCAAAACTACAACGGAACAAATAAGCAATATAAAATGATTAGACATGTGAAATTCGTTTCGGTCCGAATTAAAATTCAGCCGAATTTTGGGTAATTCAGACGTTCGGGTGCTTCCGAATGTCCGAATAGCTGAATTGCCAAGTGCCGAATTGCCGAAGTCCTGCTATACCGCGAGTAGGGGCATGTCTATTAAACAGTGACCAGCCACAGGCCAATTTAGGTCTTTCAGCCTTTTGGTAGATAACTCCCTAATACCGTGGGAATTAGAGAGTTATCTACCAAGCGGCTGCCAGAAAAGTCCCGAAATGCCGGAGTTCCAAAGTGCCAAAGTTCTGAAGTGCTGAAGTTGCCGAAGTTCCGAAGTGTCTAAGATCCGAAGTGCCGAAGTGCCAAAGTTGCCGAAGTTCCAAAGTGTCGAAGTGGCGAATTGCCGAAGTCCCGAATTGACGAAGTCCCGAATTTCGGAATGCCGAACCGAGCTGAATATTTTCCCCAAGCACATGCCTAAAAATGATCTCCCCTCCAATATATTGCTTTTAGAAGTGAGCATGGATGAAGGAATCTATAGGTGCTAAAGATATTTGCACTTTTATACCAGGGGCTGGTTGCACCCCAACACTCCGTTCTGGATCTCTTCCAGGCTGCCTAATGTTAATTCTGTGCAAAAATGACATCTGTCATCAGCGTGCACTGCGTTCTGGTTACATACATAATGGGTTTCTACCCTGGCAAGCAGCCTAGATCTCCCCTTCCTCTGAGCGCTCTCTTCCCACTTCCCACATTTACAGCTATTCAGTTTTATAAATATTCCCTAACTCCCTTGTCCACCCCCCACCCTCCACCTAATCCCTCCCCATACTGGTTCAGAGAGCACACATTCACTCTGAGTAGTGAAAACATTCCAACCAAAAGCATTTGTTTGGACCAAAAAGGGGATCAGAGTGATGCTGCATGACGTCAGTATGGGACATGGAAACATCTGAGAACAGCTTCGTCCAGAGTTGGATTGAAGGTAAGTTTGAATATTAGTTACAGAGTTTAGGGGTCAAACACGGTGGGGCGGGCATAGTTAGTAGTTCCCAGCAGGGCATTAGAACATATATCTAGAAGAAAAAGGAATATAGTAACCCATTTAAATAAAGTTGAAAATTATGCTTGTAGACGTGTAGAAGTGGCAAAATGAAAAGATTTCAAATTGGTAGGAAAAGATTTATTTAAAAAAAATATTTTGCAATAAGTTTCCTAGTGTAGTTGTCAGCTTAATACAGTCTGCTGTTTAGTAAGCAAGCATCCATATTCTTATCTTGACAAAGTAACTATTTAATTGGTAGATATTTAATGCAAACTTCTTTTCTTGTAAATGTCACCAGAAATAAGGGATACAATTTGTATAGTGATGAATAGAGATGAGCGAACCCGAACTATAAAGTTCGGGTTCGGACCGAACATTACGATTTTTGGACCCCGAACACAAACACTGACATTTCAATAACAGTTCGGGTTCGAGTTTGGTGTTCGGCAATTTAATGGCGCGTTTTGAAAATCTGCAGGGCAGCCAATCAACAAGCATTTGACTCGTGTGCCCTTAGAAGCCATCACAGCCATGCCTACTAATGGCATGGCTGTGATTGGCCAGTGCAGCATGTGACCCAGCCTCTATATAAGCTGGAGTCACATGAGCTCTTATTAGTGTTGGGAGAGGATGTTGCAGCTGTGAGGGACAGATTAGGAAAGAATTCTGGTGTTGAATCTGCAAACTACAGCAATTATTTTTGTGGGTGCTATACTACATTTTTGTACCCTGCCCTGAGCCCAGTGCCACAGAGAAATAAGCAATCAGTCTGTTTGTTAGGTGGGCACTTGCAACTGCATGTGTGCCAGGCACATTACTTGAATCCTGTTCTGGTAGCTCAGTGGGCAACATCTAGGCATTTTTAAATACTGCTGTGACATTGCAGTTTGACAAATTCACATTTTCTTTGTGCTAAAAAGTACATTTGTGGAGTGCACTTTATATCTGAGAGTCAAATAGAACCGTCAAATACTGCTGTGACATTGCAGTTTGACTAATTCACATTTTTTTGGTGCTAAAAAGTACATTTGTGGTGTGCACTTCATATCTGAGAGTCAAATAGAACCGTCAAATACTGTGGTTACATCGCAGTTTGAAAAATTCAAATTTTTTTGGTCCTAAATAGTACATTTGCTGCCTGCGGTGCGCTTCATATCTGAGAGTCAAATAGAACCGTGGTTACATCACAGTTTGAAAAATTCAATTTTTTTTGGTGCTAAATAGTATATTTGCTGCCTGCAGTGCACTTCATATCTGAGAGTCAAATAGAACCGTCAAATACTGTGGTTACAACACACTTTTAAAAATTCAAATTTTTTTGGTGCTAAAAAGTAAATTTGTGGCGTGCACTTCATATTTGAGAGTCAAATAGAACCGTCAAATACTGTGGTTACATCGCACTTTGAGAAATTCAAATTTTTTGGTGCTAAAAAGTAAATTTGTGGCGTGCACTTCATATCTGAGAGTCAAATAGAACAGTCAAATACTGTGGTTACATCGCACTTTTAAAAATGCCTGTGGTGCATTTCTTGCAGTCCAATAAAACCGTTAAATACTACTGTTACATTGTTGGTTTTAAAAAAATCACACTTTTTTGTGCTAAAGTGAACATTTGCAGCCTGCGATGCATTTCTTGTGGTCCAATAAAACCCTTAAATACTACTCTTACATTGTTAGTTTAAAAAAATCATACTTTTTTGAGACAGTGATGTAACTGTATTAATTACGCCTATCACACTGTTGTGTGACCTCTAGAAATGTTTTCTCTTTAGGACACCGGCACTGCCTTACTGTCAGTGAACTTAATTGTTGACTATTGGCGGTTACATTGTCGCCTGACATAAACCATCTGTTAGTTTGGGCCTGAGGCAGATAGCAGTTTGGTGCATGTCCTTCCGCCACCGAGGATTGCAGAGCATTTCTCTTTGCCTCCTGTTGCCTCCTCCTCCTACTCCGCTTCCTCCTCCTCCTCTTCCACCTCCTCATCTGGTCAGTGTAACACCTTCACCCCCAACTTCAGCACAGCCAGGGGGAAACGACAGCAGGCTGTTTTAAAACTCATATGTTTGGGGGGAAAACCCCACACCGCGCAGGAGCTGTGGACAGGCATGGAACAACAGACAGATGAGTGGTTGTTGCCACTGAGCCTCAAGCACGGCCTGGTGGTGCATGATAATGGGCAAAATCTCGTAGCAGCTCTGGGCCTAGCCGGTTTGACGCATATCCCTTGCCTGGCGCATGTGCTGAATTTGGTGGTGCAGAAATTCCTGAAAAACTACCCAGATATATCAGAGCTGCTGCAGAAAGTGTGGGCTGTCTACAGCGTAACTTCAGCCTTCCCGCTCACCGCCTCATATGCAACATGCCCACAAGGTGGAACTCCACCTTGCACATGCTGGAGAGACTGTGCGAGCAGCAGCAGGCGATAGTGGAGCTTCAGTTGCAGCATGCACTGGTCAGTCACTCTGCACCAGACTTGCCCTCCAATAGATCCCAGTTAAAGGATTTAAAGTGTACTCATTCCAATTACAGGGCCTCAAAAAAGTCCTGTATTGTTATTTATCATCACTACCTCCCCGCGTCGGGATTGGGTAATTTGCGCGCCTGCTGCCTTCGTTGGATGTGGTAGCCGTTTCTCAGACTCCCTCTCTGGAATCGAACCCTGATTCCCCATTACCCGTGGTCACCATGGTAGGTGCAGAAAGTACCATCGAAAGTTGATAGGGCAGACATCCGAATGCGTCGTCGCTGTCACGGGGACGTACGATCGGCCCGAGGTTATCTAGAGTCACCAAAGTGCCTGCGCAATGACTGCCGAGTTGCCCACATTCTAACTTGTGCTGATTACTGCGTGGCCACCCTGCTGGATCCCCATTACAAGGACAACGTGCCGTCCTTAATTCCCTCACTAGAGCATGATTGGAAGATGCGCGACTACAAGCGCACGACACCGGGGCTCAGTGAAAGCACAAGACGAAGGCAGAGGAGGAGGAATGCAGCTGGGGCAACGCCAGCACCTCAGAAGGCAGGGTTAGCATGGCCAAAATGTGGAAAAGCTTTGTCAGCACACCACAACAACCAGCACCACCATCTGATATGGAACGTCTTAGCAGGAGGCAGCATTTCAGCAACATGGTGGAACGTACTGTGTGAACACACCTACACGTACTGACTGATGGGTCTGCCCCATTCAACTTCTGGGTCTCCAAATTGGGCACATGGCCTGAGCTTGCCCTTTATGCCTTGGAGGTGCTGGCCTGCCCTGCAGCCCGTGTATTGTCTGAATGTGTGTTTAGCACGGCAGGGGGCGTTTATTAAAATGAACCAGGCATGGATCCCACCAAACTTGTCTGTACCTTGTGCAGAATAGACATTTATACCAGCCTTACCCAGCCATTGATATTCTCAAGTGCACTTATTCTTTGTTTTCTTTTTTTATATGTCCCAATATTTTGGGGGCTACCCCAATTGTTTGCAGGGCACTTGTCCTACTCTTGTCCCCATTTTATTTCCTTTTGCAGCCCTCTAGTCCTTTCCAGGACTTTTTTAGAGCCATTTTAGTGCCCAAAGGTTCGGGTCCCCATTGACTTCAATGGGGTTCGGGGTCAAGTTCAAGTTCGAACTCAAACTTTTTACCGAAGTTCGGCCGAACCCGGCGAACCCGAACATCCAGGTGTCCGCTCAACTCTAGTGATGAACATTGTTCCCCACCAGAGATATGTAGCCACACATTTTGTCGCATGTGTCATATGCTGTCTTAATTTTGTTTATGTACATCATTAACCCCTTAAGGACACATGACATGTGTGACATGTCATGATTCCCTTTTATTCCAGAAGTTTGGTCCTTAAGAGGTTAAAGGGACACTCGACTGCCAAAATGCAAAATAAATAGAAATCACTGTTTAGTAGATATACCCCAGCTGCATTTAATTGTGCATTATTTCACTGAAATTATATCTAAAAATAGCTTGCAAAAACTGCAGAAATTTTGTCGGCTGCCTTTGCAATCCTTCCTCTTCTAAACCTGCCCAGACTTTCCGTAACTTTTCTATTTAAAAGAAGAAAAACAAGAGGACATAGTCTTAAATTAGAGGGGCAAAGGTTTAAAAATAATATCAGGAAGTATTACTTTACTGAGAGGGTAGTGGATGCATGGAATAGCCTTCCAGCTGAAGTGGTAGAGGTTAACACAGTAAAGGAGTTTAAGCATGCGTGGGATAGGCATAAGGCTATCCTAACTATAAGATAAGGCCGGGGACTAATGAAAGTATTTAGAAAATTGGGCAGACTAGATGGGCCGAATAGTTCTTATCTGCCGTCACATTCTATGTTTCTATGTCCAACCACAAACTTCCCAATGCAGCTCGATGAGAAGTCTTTGCAAGACAGGTGCTCTGGCCAATTGCTGCCTCTAGAGTTTAGTGCCAATAAGCGAATCAAACCAGGAAGTAACTGGACCTATTGTCTGCTTGATACGCCAGGGGTGTGTAACTAGGTTAATTTTTAAAAGTGTCAATTTCTATTCAAATCTGAACTATTTCCAAAATGGGTAAATAGGACACACTCTACACACATGGAGCTTTTCAGCAAACTAAAATGCTCTAGGGGTCTGGAGTGTCCCTTTAAGTAAAATGCACAGAACCCCTTTATCTTAAGTTTAACTTGCACATAAAAGGACGACACATAAAGTTCCCAAAATGTATGAGTAATATTATGTAACATATTTGTTTTATTTCTTCTCAACGATTGCAATTAATAATGGAAAGGAGTCATCCATTAGTTGAATTCTATCCCTGCAGCTTGTGGTCAACTTGTCCAAAAAAAAACTTGTGAAAAAAAAGAGGAGGAGCTGGATAACCACATCTATATTTCTATTTTTGCGAAATATATAATTATAAATGTTTTCACTGCTCCCCTTTTTTCATCTTGTCACTTTATCTGTGAATAAAGCACTTAGTGGCGGTCCCCTAGTCATCTCTCGGCCTTCTTTTCCCATCAGCTATCTCTTTTTTGCTTTTTGGTGCTACGGGTGGCTCCCCTAATCCCGAAGCATCCAAACATATTTAAGCATCTCCTAGTCATTTGCTCATTTTTACATTCACATCGAACAGTCGATTGACCCAAATTCAGTCAAGCCTCAGTTTGCCTGAAACCCAACGGTCAAGTCTAGTATGGTCACTGGTCACTAAGCAGGTTTTGCATTGTAGCTGGATTTGGTTTAACTTAGCACTCCAAGAAGCCAATCAGAACACAGCCTTGCTTTCGGTGAGGTTGTTTGATTATTTAATAACTATATCTCATTACATTATTGCGAATTTCTCTCGTTTTTTTTTCATCAGTAAAATGCTTAGTGCAAGAACTTTTTTACACATACCTGCACTTGTCCCAGTATGCCGTGTATTAAAGCTATTTACAATCGCTTCCCCTTTAATAGTGCTGAACTTCACTTTATTTCCCTCTGTGGAATGCTGCCTAACCCATTACAGCCCTACAGAAATCTGGATTTTTGTTTTCTTCTTTTTTTTTTTTTATGTGACCCTTAAATTAAATGTTCAGTGTTCAAAGCCAAATAAATATTTTTGCTAGCTATGTACAAGATTTTAAATCACAATATTTCTCTCTTTGGGATTCTTCCAAGAAAGGAAAAAAAAGAATCTTTGAAATACAGTAACAGCATTAACCTTTCTTATTTGGGGTCACTTACATGCTGCCAGCTTGAATTGAGACTAATTTTATGAGGGTTCTAATTATGTTCAGATAATCATTGCAATTAAGGAGTGAACTACTACTTGAAATTTAAGTGCTTGTATATTGAATCAAATGTCATATATTGCTAGCAAAAATATCCCATTTTCACCGTGGCACGGAGATACGTGAATGTGACCGAGTCATTTTATTCTCTGATTGATGAAGAGATTATTTATATAGAAAGTGAATAGTGCACATTTATATCATACAAGACACATTAAAATATATTATTATTGCACTTGAAGTGTTAGGAATACAAACCAGTATTCCTAATGCTTTAGAATCCCTGTTCTTAGTTGTTATAACATCCCCCCTTCTTGTTTGCCTTAAAAATTTGAGAGAAGTTTTACTTACCTTTATCCCCCCTTGGCACTGTTTACCACTCCACCTCCCGCGACATCATGGAGGAGGCATGGCCCAATTCAATGTTTCTCACAGAGGAGCTTGCGCAGTGAGCACTGTGTACGCACCTAAGCTTGTTCATAGCAAAGCACTGAATCAATGCTTTCCTATGAGGGTTACCACATCACGTGACGGGGTTTTACCCGGTCAGTGCTGATGAAACAACGCCATTGGCTGTCAGGTGTGCTTAACCCTGCAATAGAAACAGTGCAGTATCTCCAAAACTACAATGTTTTCCATTGCAGGAATTAAAATGACAGGAACATTGCACCCAGTCCACTTCATTGAAATGAAGTTTACTGTTTATTTTAGTGGTCATTTAATTGCCAATTGATTTCTATTAATGGCCATTAAAATATTTGGTTTTTTTGTGCACACAAAATCTGGAATTATTTATTATAAAATACTAAGCTTCCCTTGAAACAACATGTAACAAAACTCTGTATTTCCTTATCTCAGCTTTTTTCCCTTTGTTCAGTTAATTGATGTAACGAACACTGACTACCCCCTGGCTCATTTAACTTCAAACTTAAGTGCTCTCTTTGTGTGGCTGCAGTTCATAAAACCAAACAACATGTGCGCTGGACAACGGTGGCCATCTTGTCTCCCGAAAGCAGGCAGCAGTTCTTAGTCGTCAAGTGTCTGGAACTCTAATTCGGACACTTGGCCCCGTGAACACTGGTAATTTTGTACGAACTCCTGCTTCATTTCATGACAAGCTAGGAGAGCACTGTTCGGTAGGAATGTTCACACAAACCAGGCGATCAATCTCTACCTATGAGCCAGGGGAACCGTTCAACTTTTTGCTTGTTTTGGAACTCCCGAAAGTGACCGATCGCTACCACTTTTTCTCTGGAACTATTTTGGGCAGACGCCACATGTGCGGTCGGTCAAAACTTTAACCCGGTGGCGATTCAGTTGTATTTGTGGGATCTGAGCGCTATTTGGATATTTTGGGCATTTAATAAACATCTGCTTTTGGGTCATGCTGTCAGTTGGCTCCCCAAGATTTTTATTTTAACAGTTTCAATGTACCCCTAACCTTAATTTCAAGCTCTCATTATCTATAGTATAAAAGTCCTAAGTTACTAGACAAACCTAAGAGTTAATCGACATGGCACACTCACTGGGGTGAATTTCTACCCATCAGGATATCTAGTAGACAAGTGGAAAGTTTGAGCCCTGATATTGCTTAATTGTTATTGAAGTCTTGGACATATTTCTTACATCTCCAGATGATGAAGTCACTTTGGCTCTTCTTCCCCTTTTCTCAGATGAGTTCAGATTCTACAGAGTTTGACCAAACAGGTATTGGTAACTAGATAGTTCCCAAAATTGGGAGGAAGTAGAATGGAGCGGGTGGGCCCTCTTACTGACAACCTATCCTTAAAGTACTAGACCATGCAG